AACCATGGGAATGAAACCCATCTCAGAGAAGACGCAGTCCCAAGATTCCCCAGCCCCAGGCCCAAGATTCCAGTCATCCCTAAGTATCGAAGCAGGACGGAGGTAGGGGAGGAGGAGCCAACAAGAGCCCCACCCAGAGCTCCTGCCTTCCCCTCCGAGGCCCATTCCTTTGTCCCTTCTGTCCTACATAGCTGGGGGCTGCAGAGGAGGCCTGCCGGGCCCTTGAGTCCCGCTGCCTGCAGGAGACGGAGAGAAGAGCCAGGGCTCTGAGCACACACAGCAGCCCAGAGCGGGGCCCGCTCTCTCAAGGTGGGAAAGCATCTCCCAGGCTCAGATCCCCACAGCAGAAATCTCTGGGGAGTGCATCACCACAGATAGCTGCCCCGTGGGGAGCCTCTCCTGCCCTCTGAATGTGCTCGGCTCTCCTGAGCTCAGCCAGGGCCTGGCTCTTACCTGGCAGGTTCCCCTGACTCCGATAATCTATTGTCTTTTCTTCTCCTCCCTACCCCTGGTGGTGGTCGCTGCCATGTGGCACTTTTCTCTGCCATTTGCAGCAGACAGAGAGGAGTGGGAACAGGAGGCACAGGTGGTGCTGGGTGTGCGGAAGTTCCTGCAGAGTTTAGCGCAGGTAGCAGAAAAGCTTAGGCAAGCTGCTCGCCGGCTGCAGGGCCAGGAGGAGGAGACGCGGCTGCAGCAAAGCAGGAATCAGAGCCCACAGGTCTGGAACCGCCCCAGGAAGGTGAGGCTCTGAGGTGGACAAGGGAACCCGCATGTGATGAGTACATCCTCCCACGTGATCAGATGTGGCTCTTCGGGGTAATGTAATATTCAGGGTAGGTGGGCTCAAGGAACCATGGACATGCCAGAAGGGGAGCGTGAAGAAAGAGAAAGAAGGCTCATCTTAACTTGACCATTATGTTCCCTGTGTTCTAGGTGGTTCAGCGTCTCTCCGATGAGTTTCAGGCGGTGGTGAGGGAGAGACGGAACTTCCTGGCTAGGGCCCTGGGTCAGCTGCAGTACCGACGGAAGTGGAGCCACCTCCAGCTCTTGCACACCCAGGTACTGATCCCTGGACTGGACTTGGCTGAGGAGATCTGTATTTCTGTCTTTGATAGGGGGCATCAGAAAGAGACTCCCAAGGCAACCACGTGGGACAGGTGAGGACCAAGCACGGAACTCAGTGCTGACTATTTCATCCTAGATGATTGCCTCAGGAACCCCTGTGTGTTTGGAGAATTACCCTGGAGACATATTCTATGGAACAGTCACCACTTCTCTCAGGGACCGGGCCGCTGCCTGCCCCCTGTTGATCCCATTCCTGAAGCAGCTCACTGCAGCGCTAGTAGGAGCTCCAGGGCTGGAGGATCAGAGGCTAGAAACAGGTCAGGCTTGTCCCTGTTCCAGCGTTGCCTCCTGCTGCCAGTCCTGGCCATGTTTTGATAGGTCCTAATGCTACACTTAGAATTCCCAGCACCATAGGTGTGTATCCCCAGTAGGTTCTTTAGGAAGAACATTAGAGGAACCCAATGCATTAGTTATTGATTGCCCTGTAAGAAATGACCCCAAAATCTGATGGCTTAAAATGACATTTATTTTCTCACAGTGTCTTTGGGCCAAGAATCTGGGTGCAACTTAGCTGGGTGCCTCTGGCCCAGGGTTTCCACAAGCTACAGTCAAGGTGTGGGCCAGGATTGCAGTCATCTCAAGGCTTGACTGCTGGAGGATTCACTTCCAAGCTCACTCTTATGACTTTTGGCAGACCTCAAGTCCCTGCAGGCTGTTGGCTAGAGACAACAATTCCTGCTACAGGGACTTCGTGGGCAGCTCACAACATGGCAGCCTGCTTCTCTCAGAGCAAGCAGGCCAGGGAGTGAGAGAGGGCGAGCAAAGTGGAAGCCAACGTCTTTTTTTGAGACAGAGTCTGTCTCTGTCACCCAGGCTGGAGTGTAGTGGCGCAATCTCCACTCACTGCAACCTCCGCCTCCTCGGTTCAAGTGATTCTCTTGCCTCAGCCTCCCAAGTAGCTGGGATTACAGGTGTGCACCACCATGCCCAGCTAATATTTTTGTATTTTTAATAGAGCAGGGTTTCGCCATGTTGGTCAGGCTGGTCTTGAACTCCTGACCTCAAGTGATCTACCCGCCTCAGCCTCCCAAAGTGCTGAGATTACAGGCATGAGCCACCGTGCCCAGCCCCACAGTCTTTTTGACTCTTAATCTCAGAAATAACTTTTGCCATGTTCTATTCATTTGGATGAACCACTAGATCCAACCCATGTGCAAGGGGAGGAAAGTACTCAAGGGCATGGATACACATTAGGGGGTCACTGGGGCCATCTTAGAGGCTTTGGCCACAACCCTAGGCCCTTGCCCAAATAACTATTTTATTCCCCTCTGTTCGGATATGATAAAGCTGATGTCATCTGGACTTCACCATTCTTCTCCATCCTGAAGAAAGCAGACATCTGGTCCCAAGCCCAGGGAAAAATCTGGTCCCAAGCCCACAAGGAAAAAGCTGAACTGCAAGAACAAGTATATCACAAACCAGGTAACTTCCTTTTCCCCTGTAGCTCCTGTTTGGGATTCTCACGGGAGGCACTGAAGGTATATGATGGGGTAACCCCCGGGATCTAGGAATGTTAGAATCCTGCCTTACCAAACATCTCTTTCTCTCTACCCCCACACTAAAGTTCCCCAAGTGATTTTCCCAAATAAGGAATAACAAATAGGAATCAAAGTACCCTTATGACTGTAACTGGGCAAATTTCCAAAAGGGGATTTCCAAAGGCCCCCTGCCTTCCCCACCAAGCACTGAATCTAAATCTTGGGACTTCACCCTCTATCAGCCAGCCACATGTTAGAAGGAGCTAATGTAAAGGTGTGAGGCAGGAAAGGGAAAAAACAAAAAGGGAGAAAAACAGAGGAAATGAACGAAGAGAAGACCTTGCTCCCCAAAGGGACCCCAAATCACTTTACCAATACCACTCCTTGAAATTGGAAGTCAAGAGAGAATGTGGCTTGCCTAACCTGAAGAGCCAGGTCTGCTTCAACTCACACACCTCCCAAGGGGAAGTAACAGAAAATGAATGTGTGCCTTTCAGTAGACCACAATGCAGGCTCCAGGTAAGCACAGCACCATGAACACCCCTGAATTTGAGCAGGGAAGCGCAAACTATGGCCCACAGGCCAACTCAAACCTGCTACCTGTTTTTGCATGGTCCACAAGCTAAGAAAGATTTTACATATTAAACTGGTTAGAGAAAAAATGACAAAAGAAGAATAAAATTTTTATGGAGTACTTTATGCCACATACTATTCTAACTCTTTAGATGTATTAACTCATTTACTTTTTACAACAAGCCAGTAAAGTAGAAACTATCACTTATCTTTTTTTTTTTTTTTTTTTTTTTTTTTTGAGATGGAGTCTCGCTCTGTCCCCCAGGCTGGAGTGCAGTGGCCGGATCTCAGCTCACTGCAAGCTCCGCCTCCCGGGTTCACGCCATTCTCCTGCCTCAGCCTTCCGAGTAACTGGGACTACAGGCGCCGCCACCTCGCCCGGCTAGTTTTTTGTATTTTTTAGTAGAGACAGGGTTTCACCGTGTTAGCCAGGATGGTCTTGATCTCCTGACCTCGTGATCTGCCCATCTCGGCCTCCCAAAGTGCTGGGATTACAGGCTTGAGCCACCGCGCCTGGCCAGAACTATTACTTATCTTATAGATGAGGGAACTGAAGCTCCTGGATGGGTCAAGAAAGTATTCAAAGATCATATTGCTAGTGAGTAGTTCAGCTGGAATCCAATCCCAAAGACTCTTTCCCCAGACCCTGTGCTCTTCACTTGCTTCCTCAAATGAAAACTTGTTCAACACTATAAAGGCAGTGCCAAAAGAAGATGCAGGTAACACATTTTGGTGAGTTCTCAGGAGGGCAGAGCACTTGCTTTTCTGGACCAGAGAAGCAAGAGAAGGCTTTGTAGGAGAATGAGGCCACACTTCTACCATGAGAATAGGGAACACTAACTTTGAACCCTAATTTTGGGTCTTGGCTAACAACCCTAATTTTGGGCCCTGGCTAAAATACTTGCTATCTGGCCCTTTCCAGAAAAAAGTTTACTGACTCCAGAACTTGACCAATCTCATTATTAATTCCTCCTTTCTTTGGGTGAAACTAGGAAGGGAATGGCAGAGAGACGAACTGTCCTTTAAGGATTCCCAGCCCCACTTCAACCTTCTTTGTCTTGCCATTATACAGGCCTTATAATTTTGAGAGTAATTGTATATACATTATCTTGTTTATATATTCTAGTTCTAGAAGATAGTAGAAGACTATTAATTACTTTTTAATAGATGAGAACTGATGCTCAAAGAAGTTTAGTGACTTTCTTGGGGTCTTATAGAACCTGGACTAGAACACAGGTCTTCTGACTGCTACTTCAGCAGTCTTCCCTAAACTTTGCTACCAATCTATTCTTTACTGCTCTCTGAAGAACAATAAAAAGACAATAGAAATTTTAAATACTCAAGGCCCATTACAGACAATACTGTAGGGAAGTAAGAATCTTAAATATAGTTAACATTTGCTGAATGTTTACTATGTACTAGACACTGTTCTGAGTACGTTACATTTAATGCTCCAAGCAACTCAAGGAAATAGAAGAAGAAAATCTGTTGCCATCTTCTGTGGACCCTCATTCTGTCCTTGCCCCTCAGTTCCTATTGACTGAAACTCAATCTTTTTTTCCATAAAGATGGACAGAAGAGCCTGTAGCATGACGCATATATAGCACAGGAGGATGGATGGAGGGGTGGATGGATGATAGATGGTTGCAATAAACCTTTTCCTAAATTGAGTTGTGTTGTTAACATATCGTTATTGTACAGAAAAGTTAGTGAAATTATTACTGGTTTCTCCTGATCGCTGTAGACCCAAAGAGCTCTTTGCAGGATCTTCCAAAACCTCAGACAGTGCAGAAGGAAGAGTTGATAACTGTGCAACCCATTGACCTTTCTGCCAGGGAGTTTGTGGTTTACCAGTATGGCCTTTCCATTCTGCACCTCCTCATCCCCCAGCTTCATGTAAGTCTTGTTTCTGGCGTCTCTATGGAACAGTTACTCATGGAGCCTAGAAGGTCAGGGTAGCCAGGAAGAAGTCTTTGAGATGGCAGATATCCCCTAGGATTAAGCACCTGGAACAGCAAACTTTCTAGTATCTCCTTTAAGGGGATTGATGGGAGTTATTTTACCAAACTAAAGTCTAATCTCTCGAATGATATTAACCACAGGTAGAATGAATTAGTCACTTTCTACATGCCAGAAAGTATTCTAATAATTTCCATTAATTAACTCACGTAATCCTCAAAAAAACCCTATGACACAGACACTATTATTTTTCCTATTTTAAAATTGAGCAGAGGAGATGGGGTGGTTAAATAAACTTACCCAAGATCACACAGCCAAAACGGCAGAGCCAAGGTTAAAATCCAGGCATTATGGCTCAAGAGCCCTCTAGTCTAGTCAACCTCTATTTAGAAAAGTAGTAAATTGATTGTCATATTTAGCATAAATATTAAATATGCTGTTAAATACTCTTTCCATTTTCCTGTATACTAAGCCTACTTACCCTGTTGCAATTTAAATTAATGCCCCAATGCATTTACTTCTCATCAATTTGGCTGATGTTACATAGCTGAGATGCATGAGAATTTTTTAGCAAAAGGATAGCTTTGGTTTTGTTTTTATTCTTTTCAGGCTCCAGAAATCACCCTGAAAGTTGCTTCTCATCTTCCTGCCATGGAAGCCCAAGGCAGCACCTTCCAAGGTGCTTTCTTCTATCAGGTACCGCAAATTCATTCCCAAATGTGGGTTATAAAATTCTAGGGTCCAGTACAGATAAATGAAAGCAAAAAGAACAAATTTTATAATTTTTTTTCTAAAATCCTGATATATTTTATTCCCTCCTGGAAATAAGTAATTTAGCTAAGGCATAATAAATGTCACAGTGTAAGAGCTTTCTCTAATCAGTAAAATGAATATGTTCTGGCTTGTGCCCAGAGAAGCATAATAGCTTGGTACCCATTAATAGATCTCTGTCATTATCAAAGCCAGAGGTTCCAGGCTGGTATTTCCTGTAAGAGTCGTGGTTCTAGCTTCAGGAATTCCTGCACAATCAGCATCTTTCTACAGAAAAGGATCTAAATTGTTCCTGTCCTGGCAGTTCTTCAGATATGTAGATTGGAAGTGCCTTGCTGGTATCTGCCTTAAACACTGATGACCGTCTATTGCCAAACAATTCTGCGAGGCAAAACTGCTCATCAATACTGGACGATTAGAAAAAGGTTTATACCTGACTAGTAGGTTGTTGGGGGATTTAATAAAACCAGAAAATAATCACATATGGCACTCTCTACACATTATTTCACTTGATCCTCAAACAACTCGATGAAATAGATGAGAATTTAATCCCATTTTACAGATGAGTAAACAAACTCAGGTTGTGGTGCAAGTGCCGTGTGCCAGGAACTCAGTCGGGTGCCTTGCAGGCATGGTCTCATTTATAACTCACAACACTATGGGGTACTTTTGTTATCTTTGTTTTAGAAAGTAGGACATTGAGGCCCAGAGAGGCCAAGTAACTTCCTCAGGATCACAGAGTTAGCAAGAGTTAAGACTCAAGCCCAGGTGTGTTTGACACCAAAAACTCATTCTTATAACTGTGAGTCTATGCGGCTGCCACTCACAGCTGAGTCAAAGGACAAATCTCAGATTGTCTGATTCCAAACTACCTAAAAGTTTTTTCATGCCAACCAACTGTCCCTTAAGAGAATGAACAGGAAAGTTATTTCCAATCAATAGGCAAGAGAGGTGATTTGAAAACTTGATTACAATAAAGGCATGGAAGATGAAGAAAGCCTTGAGAGCCCTCTAAGGCAGTGATTCTCAAACTATAGTCCTTAGACCTCCTGTACCAACCACTTGGGGAACCTGGGAAAAACGGAAGTACATAGACCCCACAGAACCAGGAATTTGTGGATGGGTCTCGAGAACAGAATCACCCCCTTGTGATTCCTATTACACACAAGTTTGAGAATCACTGCTTAAGGAAACAGTGATTGGGGGATATTGATAAAAGAGATACACAAGCAACTCTGAATTTCTAAGTTTGTTTTCTATAAGATGGAGACAGTAGGGAAAATTGGGAGACAATGGAGCAAATGACTTATTCAGAGAATTGAACTCAAACAATTTTTCCCTGGTCATCTGAATCTTCCCCTTAGTAAATTTCCATTAGGGCCAGAGAGTCTTGTTTTAGACCATGTGCCATAAACCTTGAGAAAGAAAGAGGCAGTGGGAATGTTCCCAGGGGCGGACATCTCAGTGTTGAGGTGTTTTCTCCTCTCAGAGTGCTGAAAACACACTGTTCATTGGGAGAGAGTGTTTGGCCTCTGTGGGAAGCTTTGTTCTGCTGCTGATCCGCTGCCTGGCCCACATCATTGCTGGGGAACCCCACCAGGACTCCGACCCTGCCTTTCTGGGGTCATTTTACAAGGTATTTATAACATGTACAGGGCATTTTGCTTCTCTTTCTCTGTGACTCAGACCCCGTTCCCCAGGAGAATAAATGCTTTAGGCTTTGCAACATTTCAAATCTACTGGAGTCCATTGTAGCCTTTGGTTCCTCCTGCCTGGCCAAGAAGAGGATTTTCCTAATCAGATTTCCCGTGGCAGCATATGACAAAATGCACGTACCACTGATTCACGGAAGTGGTTCTCCTATGAGCACAGCATCTCAGCTTTCTGTGGCTGTTTAACAGTTCACACATAAACCGCACCAGAACTGCTAAAGACAATGATAACCCATGGTGAGGGCAAGTGAAGATGAGAACTCTCAAGCCCCATTTTTCTTTCAACTATTATTTTAAAGCTTTAATAGCAGTTGTCTAGAAGTCCTACTGATCTGTCTCCCTCGCCTTCTCTTCCCTTGACCAAGGGCCTGGAGGCCTATTTCAGGGAAGCATTCTCTATTACACTGAGAATGCCAGCGGTTTCCAGGGACAGAAAACTTGACCAAAGCATAAGTGCTATCCTGCTGGAAGAGCAGCCCATCTCTGACAGAGAAAGAGATCTTCTGTCTAAACTCATTGAAATGAAGCATGCATCTCCCTTGGAGCCAGAATCACTAGAAGAGGTAACTAACTTTATTACGTGTATCACATGGCCTTGACTAAAATGGACCTCTTCACAGAGTAAATGCCTCAGTGTATTCAGATATTTCTGACCTCAAGCCACATATGACAATATTTATTGTTTTGAGACAGGGTCTCGCTCTGCTGCCCAGGCTGGAGTGCAGTGATGCCACTACAGCTCACTGCAGCCTCGGTTCTGCTGAGCTTAAGCGATCCTCCCACTGCACCCTTCTGAACAGGTGCACGCCACCATCCCAGAAAATTTTCATATTTTTTTTGTAGAGACAGGGTTTTGTCAGGTTGCCCAGGCTGGTCTTGAACTCTTGGGCTCAAGCAATCCACCTGCCTCAGTGTTCCCAAAGTGCTGGGATTACAGGCGTGAGCCATGGCATCTGACCTCATGACAATATTTTTAAAATCCTGTTCTATAGGGCAGACAGTAGTTACATGACTGAGTCATAAGGAGTACAAATGTGAGCTAACTTCATGTTTCTCTAACATATTATGAATAATTAAGCAGAATCCCATCTGTAAAACTGTGACTCATACTAAGTTTAGATGCCCAAGTGACACCTTGTTTACCCAAACTTACGGTGTGCTGTTTTCTGTGCAAGCTTGATAATTATATTCTTAAGATCTTGTTAAAGCACTTTTGCCAGGCGCAGTGGCTCACACCTGTAATCCCTGCACTTTCGGAGGCTGAGGCAGAAAGATCGCTTGAGCCCAGGAGTTTGAGACCAGCCTGGGCAACACTGTGAGACCCCATCTCTACAAAAATAAAAATAAATTAGCTGGGCATGGTGGCACATACCTGTAGTCCCAGCTACTCAGGAGGGTGAGGCAGAAGGATCCCCTGAGCACAGAAGTTTGAAGCTGAGGCTGAAGTAAGCTATGATCGCACCACTGCACTCTAGCCTGGGCAACAGAGTGAGATCCTATCTCAAAAAATACAATAAAACACTTTTTTGAAAATATCTCAGATTTTAACTATTAAAAATAAAAATCATAAAATTTAAGTATATGATAAGAAAAATATCATCCTGCACTAAAGGTCAATTCATTCTTATGAACAAGAGCATATCGTGCTTCAATATTTATATCAAACTACAATTTTCAAAGCCACTTTTATATATAGTGTCACTTGATCCACCCAGCAATCCTGCAGAGTAAGTAGTGTCTATACTTTTAGCCACATTATTGAAAAAGAAGATAAGGAATTTGCCCAAAGTTATAAAGTTATTTGTAGTGGTGGATCTGAGACTAGATTCTAGACTTCCTGATTCCTGCTAACTGTCCCATACACATATCTCCATCATTGAATCTCTATTAGTTACTAAGACAGATTTATTTTGTGGGTTTGATAATGATGTTGGTCATCCAGACCACAGAATTCTGTTAGACCCCAATTTCCACAAATCGCAGAGAACAGTCCATTTCCTGTGCTCATCCATCAGCAGCATTTGACATATCTGACCATATTCTCCTCCTTGACGTATTTTCTTCATTTGGCTCCCAAGACACTGGCCCCCTCTGGTTTTCCTCCTACTTCTCTGATTGTTCCTTCTCAGTCTTCTTTGCTGATCCCCCTTCTTTTCTCTGGCCTCTTAATGTTGGAGGGCCAGGACTTAGTCCTGTCCCCTTCTCCAGTTTATATTTTCTGTCCTTGGAGGTCTCTTTTAGTCTTCTAGCTTTAAATCTCATCTATGTCAATGACCCTCAAATTTCTATCTTCAGCCCCAGTTCTCTAACTCATACCTCCAACTGTTTATTGGCCATCTCCACTTGACTGTCTCAAACTCAACATGTCCAAAACCCAATTTTAAATTTCTTTCCAAACCTGCTCCACTCAAAACCTTCCCCCATCTCAACTGATGGAAACTCTATTCTTCAGGATTTTCAGGCCAAAGCATCCTTGAAACTCATCTGTTACACACACCCACAACCAATCCATCAGAAAATCCTGTTGTTCTACCTTCAGAGCATATCCAGAATCCGACCACTGCTCATCAACTACAATACCACCCTTGTGCAAAGGCTACCATTGCCTCTTGCCCGGATTACTATAATCCTTACTAATGGCTTCCTCAAGTCCACCCTTGTTTCTCTTCAGCCTACTCTCAACACAGCAAAGTGATCCTCTTAAAATGGAAATTGGATCTGCTCAAAATCTGCTGTATCTCCCCAATTCACTCAGAGCAAAAGCCAAATAATATTGACATGAGGCTTTATATCTCACTCTCTTACCTACTACCCTTCCCCTCATTCACTAAATTCCAACCACACACTTTCCTCCTCACTGTTCAAGCACACTGGGGACACTGCTCCCAAGGGTTCCCTGTGCCTGGAATAGTCTTTTCCCTAGGGCAGTGTTTCTCAACCAGGAGGAATTTTGGTCCCCCATGGGATATTTGGCAATACCTGGAGATGTTTTTGATTGTCATGACTCAGGGGAGGGGGTTGCCACTGACAACTAGTGGGTAGAGGTCAGGGATGCTGCTAAACAGCCTACAATGCATGGGACAGCTCCCAGAGCAAAGAGTTACTCATCCCAAAATAGTGCCAATCCTGGTCTACCCCTGACTCCCTTACCTCCTTCTCATCTTTGTTCAAATATCACCTTGTCAATAAGGCCTATCCTGACTATCCAATCTTAATTTGCAACTCTTTCCCCCCTACTCAGCAGCTTTCCCTGAATTTTTCCTATATCCTTTCCTAACACACTACATAATTTACTTGCACTTGTTATTACTTTCCCTCCTCAGCTAGAATGTAAGCTCCATGAGGACAGAGATGTTTGTTTCATTTCCTGATGTAGGCCATGTGCCGGGCTCATAGTAGGCTTGAGATGTATTTACTGTGTTAATGAACAAGTAGATGTATATGGGCCCTGATGCAATATACCGAAACCACAATCTACCTGAGCTAACTATAAGACAGATAATAGCAAACATCTATTACATGCTTGCCATGTGCCACATGCCATGTTATGATTGAGAGTTTTACATACATGATCTCATTTAATCTTCTCATGCTCTTATAAGGTGGAAGCCACTCTTATTTCTAACTTATAGATGAGGAAACCAAGGCCTAGAAGTGTAAAAACAAAAACAAAAACAAAACCACCAAACTTGCCTAAGACATAGCAATAGTTGTGGAGCTGGAATGTTTGTCCTCTGGCAACCACCATCTATGAAGAAATATTGCTTTAATTTAAAAGCAAAATTGTACATAGTACTCTCAGGTCCACATTCTGGCTAACAAGATCCAAGGGCACTTAAAATAAATGGAAACCAGAGTATTAACACTGTCTTCCACATTCTCTACAGTATATTCAGAAAAACAAAGATCTTCTGCTCTTCACCAATATGGAACATTTCCTAAAAAGCATCCTCGCCACAGAACAACAAATCCTAAGAAAACCAAGAAATCAATTTGGGAGTGAAGATAAGGTGAGATACCCTTATGATCAATAGCATTAAGATAACAATTAGCTATATGCCAACTATTATTTATTACTGTGTTTGGGCCATATTTATAATTGAACAGAATAAAAGGTTGGAAATTAGTGATGGTATGAACAAGTGACATCACTTCCCTTAAGAGCTTCCCCAATACGAACAGAGGGTGGATCTTATATTTCAGAAAGGATCCAAGAGAGCATAGAGCATTGGTCATCAGGGAAATTTAAAACTGCATTGAGATACTGCACACCAGAAAAATGAAAATAGTAAAAAAGAAGATGTAGTTTAAAGCATAGTTTATCCCTTTCCCGTCAGGCAGGTAACATATTAATCCTAGAGAGAAGGAACTGAGGACCAGACTTGCCCCCATTCATCAAGCTGGAGGAGAACAAAAAGTAGCTAGAACATGGGTCCACTGGCTTCTCATTCAGGGTTTCTTCCACTATACCACAACGATACCAACTGCTGTTTTACAAAAGCTTATTTTTAATCCTAAGAACTTAAAATGTGGCATCTTTAAAAATCAAATGTTTTGGTTCCAAATCATCACTAATATTTTGTAAGGTCAATGGATAATATTAGCAAACAGAGAACCCCAAAGTCTTCATCTTCCTCATGCACAGTGGGGACCTATCATGTCAAGATCAAGATCAGAAACTAGCAACCTAGAGAAATAACCAGGCACTGACTCCTCCGGGGCCCCAATCCACTTAATTTAAAGTTACTGCCAGTGTCTGGGATGAAAACTTTTAAACCTTTATTAAAATAACAGCTTTAAAAGGTGAACAGATAATAAATGTGTAACTCAACAAATTGTCCAATGTGAATACTACCATATAACCAGCCCCAGATCAAGAAATAGAACATTACCGGTTCTCCAGAAGCAGCTTATGCCTCCTTCTAGTCACTTGTTCCAAGACAGAGGAACCACCATCCTGACTTCAAATACCATCAATAGTTTCTGCTTATTCATGAACTTCATATAAATGGAACCATAAGATATGAGTTACTTTATTGCTTGTTTTGTTCCACTTTCTGAGATTCATCCACATTGTGGGAGGTAGTTGTAGTTTGTTCATTCTCTTTGCTGTAAACTATCCCATTGTGTGGATACATTACTACTTACTCATTCAACTGTTGATGCATATGTGGCTATTTTCCAGTTTGGGATTATTACAAACAGTCTTGCACACCTTCTGGTGATGATACATAACTATATTTATCCAGGTACATACTTAGGACTAGAAATCCTGGGTCTTAGGACACGGATATGTTCAGTGTTAGCAGATACTACCAACTAGAGTTCCAAACGATCTACTGCTGCCAACAGTGAAGGGTTCTGGTTGCTTTCCGTTTGTATCAGCACTTAGTATTTTACATCTTTTTTACTGTTTTCAGTTTTCTGGTGTGTGGTATCTCAATGTAGTTTTAAATTTCCCTGATGACCAATGAAACTGAGCATCTTTCATGTTGATATACCATTTAGATACTGTCTCTTGTAAAGTGCCTAATCCGGTCTTTTGCCCATTTTCCATTAGATTGTGCCTATTTTTTTCTTTTTTGTTTCCTTCATATTTATTCATTTATAAAACATATATTGATATCGACTATGTGCCACATACTGGGTTTTTTTCCCACTGGAATCAAGTTTGTATTAACAATCAAAATCTGTACCCTTGTATTGCTTACTTCTCTTGGGAGAAGGGAGTGAGACAATGTACAAATAAACACATAGTGTGTCAGTTTAGAATAAGTCCCATAAAGATAAATGCAACAAGTTGAGGGAACAAAGAGTGATGGGGTACAGGGCTGCCCTGTTGTATATAGTTATCAGCGAAGACCTCGTTGAGACTTGACAGCTTGCTGGAGAATGGGAGCCACTGGTATAGCTAGGGGAAGAACATTTCACATGAAGGCAATGGCTAAAATGAGGACTTGAGGTAGAAGATGAGGTCAGAGAAGGGCCTGGGACCAGGTAACTCAGGGTCTTGTGCTTGGAACTTGTTTTATCAGGACGAAAATGTAAATTAAATCTGTGTGTATGTTAGCAGAGAAATTGAACCTAGATTCTTAAAAGGATAACCCTGGCTGCCTCTTTTTTTTTTTTTTTTTTTTTTTTCAGGTACGGTGGTTCACGCCTGTAATCCCAGAGTTTTGCTCTTGTTGCCCAGGCTGCAGTGCAGTGGCACGATCTCGGCTCACTGCAACCTCCACCTCCCGGGTTCAAGCAATTCTCCTCCCTGAGCCTCCTGAGTAGATGCGATTACAGGTGCCCACCACCATGACCAGCTAATTCTTTTGTATTTGTAGTAGAGATGGGGTTTCACCATGTTGGCCAGGCTGGTCATGAACCCCTGACCTTGGGTGATCCACCTGCCTCAGCCTCCAAGTGCAGGGATTACAGGCATGAGTCACCATGCCCAGCCAGCTGCCTCTTAAGCAATGAGTCCAGTATTACAAGTTTGGACCTAAAAAGATTAGAAAATATAAGTCCAGGCTAGGCATGGTGGCTCACACATGTAATCCCAGCACCTCAGCAGGCTGAGGTGGGCGTATCACTTGAAGCCAGGAGTTCGAGACCAGCCTGGCGAACATGGTGAAACCCCGTCTCCGCTAAAAAAAAAAATCAAAAAATTAGCCAGGTGTGGTGGCACATGCCTGCAATCCAGGCTCCTGGGGAGGCTGAGGCAGGAGAATCTCCTAAACTCGGGAGGAGGAGGCTGCCGTGAGCCGAGATCAGACCACTGCACCTCAGCCCGGGTGACAGAGCCAGACTCTGTCTCAAAAGAGAAAAGAAAATATAAGTCCTACAAGATGCATGCAAGCAGGCTCATTGCAGCAAATCATGGATTCCTGATCAGCATCTTATTTTTTTTTTATTTAGATAAGGATTTATTATTGTGTTAAATAATAACATAAGAAAATTTATTTAAAGTACTACACATATATGGTTAAAATAGAACTACATGACAATAGGAAATGAACGGATGAAACGAACAAACCTTATTTTAAAACACTGAAAAAATGAATAAAAATATCATATATCTTCTGGTCCAAAGGTAACTGTAAAACATAAAGAACAAAATTCCAAAAAAGGTAACAGGTAAAGTAGCCATAAGAGATCTGGGACAATAGACAGGATTAAATTATGTAGATATGCAAGGGAATCAACAGAAAAGAAATGTAAGCCTCTTTTGAAATTCAAACATAAAGAGTCCTTCTCTGAAAGTGCACAGAATATCTAATTTTGTCTTTCTGACAACGTCTTTAGAAACCCTATTAATGTTACTTTCAGAAATTCTATGCCGGACCGACCTTATACACAAACAAAATTTTAAAATTCTTTTTAAAGTAAGAGGGAAAAGAGACAGAAACTATGGCATCACTTAATAAAGCACCAATATCAAAGTGAAAAATAAGTTGGGATATACCCAAAGGATTATAATAAAAAATATATATTGATGAATAAAGCAAATGTGGGCTTAAAATGCCAACTTATTTTTCACTATTTTTTTTCTTGTTGATTTGTAGGAATTATTTATTCTGCAACTATTTCCCCCATTTTGTGGACTGTCTTTTAATAAAAATAACCATATAATGTTTATCTTTTTCTATTTTATTTTTAGATCTAGAAAGAAAATGGTAATCCCATTTCAGTCTGCATGATTAAAAGGTCTTAAATACATCAGTACAACATCTGATGAAGCTGATAAGAATTACTGGAAAATCTATAATATTCATGGTAAATCACATAAATAATGTGTATTACAGTTTTAGGTGTATATATAATAGGGGCTAATATTTGCCACAGAAGTTGAGGACCCCTGCTCACTGTGACTAAAATTTTCACTGTGACTAAAAGATCATCAGATCACATATCTTATTAAAATAATTATTAAATATATTGACTAAAACTCTTTCTAAGAATGTAAAACTTGTATATGCCATTATTCAGTCAGGCTAAGGTTGTCTATTACTGAATCACAAAGTAGATGGATATATGTATACAATATTTGGTGATCTAGAATGTGTACTTAAAATATAAGCCATGTCACACAAAATTCATTTTGGAGGCCGTGGTTGAAACACCACAAAGAGATAAGCAGTCATATGAAAGTGAAGTTTTGGAGTGCTGATCAGGAGAAACAGCACCATTACTGGGCGCGTTGGCTCAAGCCTGTAATCCCAGCACTTTCGGAGGCCGAGACGGGTGGATCACGAGGTCAGGAGATAGAGACCATCCTGGCTAACACGGTGAAACCCCATCTCTACTAAAAAATACAAAAAAAAAAAAAAAAAAAAAAAAAACTAGCCGGGTGAGGTGGCGGGCACCTGTGGTCCCAGCTACTCGGGAGGCTGAGGCAGGAGAATGGCGTAAACCCGGGAGGCAGAACTTGCGGTGAGCAAAGATCGTGCCACTGCACTCCAGCCTGGATGACAGAGCAAGACTACATCTCAAAAAAAAAAAAAAAAAAAAAAAAAAAAAAAAAAAAAAAAAAAAAAAAAAAAAAATCCAAATACACACTTCAACTCAAAAGCCTGCTCAGATTACAAAGCCAATGATTGAAATTCAAACTGCTTCTCACATGGATAATTATCTTTATTGTGCCCTATATTTATCTGTTCTCATGTTGCTAATAAAGACATGCTTGAGACTGGGTAATTTACAAAGGAAAGAGGTTTAATTGACTCACAGACCCACATGGCTGGGGACACCTCACAACCATGGCTAAAGGCAAATGAGGAGCAAAGTCACATCTTACATGGCAGCAGGCAAGAGAGCCTGTGCAGGGGAACTCCCATTTATAAAACCATCAGATCTTGTGAGATTTATTCACCACCACAAGAACAGTATGGGGGAAACCACCACCCATGATTCAATCACCTCCACTCAACCCCAAGGAAGGGTTTCTTAACACATAGAGATTATTACAATTCAAGGTGAGATTT